GGGGACACTTGCACAAGGAACCCAACTAGGTGGTTTTCTTTCAAGAAGCAAAGCCTGCTCTTCTGTTCTTTCTGAAACGTTAATCAGATCTGTTCCGACCACTGCGTGTGGAAAAAACATGCATGTGCTAGAGGAAAAATCGAGATCAAGGGAGAAAGTGACCTGAGCTGCCTGTGCCGGTGAGCCAACAAGCTACGGGACAGAGAGCAGGGAAGGGAAGCTCTGCAATGATTCACAGGCTGGAAATGGCAGTGGTTTCTCAGCCGTCCCACCCTGCACCAGAGCTCTGGGCTCTGGCAGCTGCTGAGCCCCAGGGTGGACAGAGCAGCCCTGCCACCAGCCCTTGGCATACCTGCAGTCCCACACCCACATGGACTGGCCCAAAGAGCTCACAGGAATATTCTAACTACCTCTAGAGTGGCAAGTCTGCTGCAAATTCTTCTTTTTACCTTCTTTGGCCCTCTGGTTACATGAATTATTTCAAATATCCTGCTGCAGAGCAAAGCTTCTGCCACCAAGGATGGGGCAGTGATGGGGCGAAGCGAAGTTCTGGGCATGAGGCGTGGGGATGAGGTGTGCACCCTCACTGCAAGACCAGGGAGGAGCTCCGTGAGACCCACCGCAGGCCCCTGAGGTGGGTGGAGGAGGACGGGACGAGCACAGGGCCGGGAGGTGCCAGCCCCGTTCTCTCCAAAATGCAAGACCTCCCTCTGCTGTCGGCGCACACCATGCCGGCCACTGCTGCAGCGACCAGGGTGGCTTTATTCCTCCTTTCTCTCAGGTTATGGAAGAGAACCTCATTGCGTGGCGGTACTAAAACAGCTCCCAGTTGCTCCACTGTATTATTTTTTTTTTAAGCCTAGTGTCTGAGTGCTAGGTAAAGACAGAAGAAATGTGAGAAGAGCTAGGAGAGACCCAAGCCTGTAGTGATGACGCTTATGTTCACGAAGTACTGAGTATTTTCTGGAGTTTTAGAGAAGAAGAAAGAAGTTTTCATCATGGTTTCAACAGTCCTCGTTTGTATCACCTGGAGAGTAACGTAGGTTACCCATAAAAAATGATGTTGCTTTTGAAGAATAAACTACGGACCAGTGCAACTGTGACATCAAGCTCTGAGTTAGAAAAACAAAAACTTACCCCAAAACAAATGCCCCATTGTCATTTTTAGTATATTTAAACCAAAGAAAAGCTTCAGGCAAGCACATCCCTCATTTGCTTTTCTGTGACTTAACACAGCCTTGTTATTGCATGAGAGGTTAATCTTACACTGGTCTTGCCAGTGATCACCCAATATAGCTGGCCAAAGGCCTTGAAGCAGTTTTGCTGTGCCTATGTCAACCAGGTGACATGAGGACCCAGAAGACACCATTAATGCTTTATAAGAGATAGGATCCTTTACAAGATCTCATCCACCCAGTGTAAGGAGACCTGGGGAATTTATTGCTTTAATCCCAGAAGCAGGGATGGATGTTTTGTGTTACGGAGGTAATACTGACAATTTACCAGACCTGTTAAGGCGAGTCTTTGACCAGAGACAGATTCATTTAAAAAAATAGCTCAATTGCAAGCTTGTCTCCTCCCATTCTGTCACTCTCTGTGCTAATCGTCCTCCTAAGGCTGGCTCCTTGTGCCAGACATGGGGAATTTCACAGGTCAGAGGTGGCCCGATTGCATTATCACCAACAATGGGCACTTGGGACTTGCTGTCTGCAAGATCAGCTGCTGATGAGGTGAGAGTAGCACTGGCAGAGCACTTCACTCTTCTGCAGTAACTCACCTCTGGATTTAGAAGCCCAGACAAGCTTGTTCTATAATAAGTTGGGGGTTTTTTTCTCCATCACAAGTTTGTGCACACAAATGAGATGAATCAAGGCTATACACAGAACACACACCTCTCAACAGAACACCTTTCTAAAACAACCAGTAAATACCAGTAAGACATACCACAGCGCCTGTAAACACGTTTGTATTTGTTAAGTTGATGAAGTCAGCACCATAGAGACACAAAGCTCTTCAGCAGCTGGAGCAAGTGGAAGTCGATAGCTAGCTTATCTCCGAGTGGTTCTATGGATGCTCATCAGGGCACAGAGAGCAGCGCTGTGAATTCTGCTGCTATCAAGGCAGCAGGTGCCAGGACATTGCTTCTCACTCACACACTAATGCAATCTAAGTTAAAGTAGAACTAGTGTGCATTTCCCAGTCAGTATTTTTGGTCTGAACCTTCTGTGAAATAATTCCCAAGTGATAAATCAATATAAATCAAACCCAAGTGGCACAGTCAAGGAGTGGGTCTGCACAGACCGTTAGGGTACAACCACCCAGCACGAGCAATTTCTGACCAGTCATCACTGCCAGCCAGCCTTCACCTCTGCATTTGGAGTTACCTAAACTGAGGACAACACAAAGATGGAAACTCCACAAACTTGACACCCAGAGGAGGTAAAGCTATGGCAGCTGTAAAGATTTCAACAGCAAAGCCCTGCTGGACAGGGGGCTGAAGGGGGCCTAGAAGAAAGCTGGGTAAGGACTTTTCATAAGGGCAATTAATGACAAAACAAGGGGAAATGGGTTTAAACTGAAAGAGGGCAGGTTTAGATTAGATATTAGGAAGAAGTTCTTCACTGTGAGGGTGGTCAGACACTGGAACAGGTTGCCCAAGGAAGTTGTAGATGCCCCCTCCCTGGAAGTGTTGAAGGCCAGGCTGGATGAGGCTTTGAGCAACCTGATCTAGTGGAAGGTGTCCCTGCTGCTGGCAGGGGGGTTGGAACTGGATCATCTTTAAGGTCCCTTCCAATCCAAACCATTCTATGATTCTATGACAGTCACACTTTCCCAATGTAATAAGAAACTCTAGGAGGGTTTGTTTCTACAGCTTCTAGGAGCATCCACATACCAGGCTGCACTGCAGTGTTCTGGCCAGCTCTAGCAGAACTTGCTCTGAACTCCATCTGAACTATTTTTCATAACCTGCACATCCACTGTTTCAAAGATTATAAATAAAGTTGCAACTAATCAGTACAAAATATCTAGTGGAAGCCAGAAGTCTCTGCATTTCTTGATGTCTGTTGTGCTCCCTGCAGCATTACACAGGCAGCAAGAAGTGTTTTTAGGGAGGTGCTGAAATGAAACGCACTGACCACAAGGAAGAAATGACAAGAGTTGACACCAAGATAGGATTTTATAAATTAAATTTCCTTTATTTGTAACTTGTCTTCAAAAGTCAAAAACATGACAAAGTAATTACTTGGAAGCTTCTAACTGCTCCTTAAACATTTTATCAGAATTGCATGGAAGTGCACTTAGAATAGTAGCAGAAATCTAGATTCCCATCAGTGGGTATCACCAAACCACGTTCTAGCCAGAACCCAGAAATCCCCATCCAGCTACTACTTCATCATCATCACTTTGCAGATCAAGCATTAAAAACAACCAACCCCAAACACAATACTTTTTCCACAGTACCATGAGATCATCCCCCCTCCCCAAAAACTGACCTTCCAGTCACCAAGCAGAACCTTAAGGATGAGTCTATAACAGCCCATACCAAGTCGGGGAAAACATACTAAAACCAAGTTAATCTTCAATATGTTAGAGGTCTGGCTGGACACAAAGTTTAACCAAGAGGTTTTAGCTGGGGTGTGTTTCATTGTTTTAAGGGCAAGGCTATGCTGCACTCTGCAGAGTGTGAAAATATTAAGTTTACTGGTCAAATAAATTAATTAGTACTCAATTTGCAGTGGTGCAGGCCCACTGCTCCAATTAAACATGCTTAAATTAGACTAGACATCACAACACAACTGTGATTTACAAGTTCTAGTCAGGTGTCTTAGATCATTAGATCTCAGCATCTTGACTGTGCAGTTAATGAAAACGTTAAACTAAAATGGAATCTCTACAGTAAAAGAACATAGACATATATTTGAATATACTTGAATACAGAGTTATCAATTTACCATGTACTGTAATCATCATCCTGCTTTCTGGGTTACATTTTACTTTTTCTTTGAAAGCTGTATCTGCATCCTATACATATAATATATGGAAAATAATCTAAGTACAGCTTCAGCTACTTTAGCAACATTTAAATGAAGAACAGGAATTCAAACTACCTGTTCAAATCTGTAATGCAGAAAGGTAGTGCTATGCAAGTGCTATAAATTATTGGAAAGTTTTGCTAGCAGCTTGCCTTGAGAGATGGAAAAAAACTAGGAATATATACGAAAACTTTAGTTTAAATAGAAAGTGGAGGTATTGAAAAAAAACTTCTGAATTCCCCTATCAGCATAAGGCTTAAAATCACTAGAAAACCAGTTTCAAAAACATCAATTTAATCATTAAGCCAGCAAATATAATTAATATTTGATACGATAGTTAAAAATTGATGCATTTTAACTCAGACCAACATTAAAGTTTCTTTTCCAGGCTAGAAATTATGGTCAAAGTATGGAAGAAAGTAATAATCATGCATAGAACTAAAATATTTTGAACTAGGTGCTTACAGAGGTGCAAAGATTTGCTAAGAAAGTTTTGTCATTTGAAGACTCATACTGAAGACATGTTTTCCATATAGTTGAGAGGCTGCCTATAAGAACTTCAACACTGGGAAACATAACAAAATAACAGGCATCATAGGTCACTTTAAATGAGAGCTGGTCTGACAGTTACAGTTAGCACCTAGAGGTCTCACTAAAGGAAAACAGAGCTACAAAGACACCTCTCATACTATCATTTAAGATATGTAAATGAGATTGGGAAAAGATATTCATTGACTAGTTCAGGCCATTCCATTTGGAATATTTTTGGTTTTAGACAGTCAAATGAAGACAACTGCAAAAGAAACCAAGAAATAGGCATAGGTAAAAGAAAACAGATTTGTCTCCTCCACAGTGACCTACAATTAATCTTTGTGTGAAAGAGTAAGAAAGTAAGTAAGAAAATTAGGCTGACAGGGTTGAATGGCACAGACCATGTTAACAAAAGACTGAGAGGTACAGAAATATCAAACCAGGATTTGAAACCAAGATAGGGATTAAAAAGTCTTCTGTATTTCCGGATGCCTGAGTTAATCTTGGGATGTAAAGGGAGAAGTGTGAGGATGCTGGGTATTCCCCCCTCATGGAAGCTTGGTTTGACAGTTAATCTTCTGGTTGGTTCATTTATCCCGCAAAGAACGCATCAAAACCTGTGCCATCGTGTCATCTTCATCAGCATCATAATCCTACAAACAAAGCACACAGAGATTCTTTTACTGCAACAGCCACACTGGTTAATACAACATCAAATAAGAACAGAGAAAAAGCTGTTCTCTTCCTTTGACTTGCCAATAATCCCATTTCTCTCATGATGCCATCTGCATGGATGACATCTCACAGTAGTGGCTATGTACAAAAGCTGGGTTTTAAGCGTCACCGGGCTGTATTCCAAGGGTGAGGAAACACATACCACAAAAGTATCATACGAAAAGCGGTGTCGTCTTTGAAGGTGCTCCATGAAGTTAGCACTCCTGTAATTTGGATCTCCCCATGGCATTGAGGCACAAATTGGGCAAACCTTCAAGAAAAACCCAAAAAAGCTAATTAAGTCCCAATGGTTAAATGCTTTAACATTCACAGCAGGAAGGGCAGGACAGAGACAGCATGGACGACTGAAGTTCAAGGTTGGTGACAATCACTGTTCTATATGCAAAGTGATGTCAATTAGTTTGCTGGGACATTTAATACAAAAGCCTCAGATAACCCTGAATAATTTTAATTCAAGTCTTAGACTCTGAACTGAAATGGCTTACTCTTCTCTCTACATTCTGAGAATCAGAGTTGACTACAGCTGTTTTTTTAAAAAGATTTCAGTCTTTATTTCTCAGTAACAGAAAAGTTTCCTTTGTCTTCTTTGCAAAGATCACTTCCCTCCAAGGGAAAAAAGGAACTTTTGTTCTAAGTAATTTGGAATTAAAAGAAACTTTTCAGAAAAAATGAAAGTTTCAAATTCAGTTCCATGTTTTGCAACTCCTTTTATATGAGGGAACATCAGGAGATAAACATCACTAGGATGATACACTATTGTTGCAACCATTTCTCCCAATGGTTTATAATGTCTTCTTGCTGAAAACAGCAGAGGGAAAAATTAAACGCCTGACATTTTTCTGAAATTATATCTTATTAATTTTACATTTGTTACTGTGCCTATTTAACTTTGAATGTCTGACATTTTGCAAATATGAAAGGATGTGATCTAGCTGCAATAGGAATAGAGACTAGTCACCTCCAGAGAATGTCTCAAAAACAAACATCAAAATGATGTGAAAGTTAAATGCATGAACAGCATACCCACACTTGAGTTGAACAGGAGTAATTATAAATGCGTACTTAACTTCAAGAATAAGTCTCTAATTGATTGTTTCAAAGGGATTTAAGACTACACATCATTGCAATTCTTGCACCGAGACTTTTTATTACCACTTGTTTTGCATCCATGCTGTGCAATGTTTTGCAGTGTTCAACTAGTCCTTCTTGATCAAAGTTTTTCTCGCTGCAATACGGACAAGGAAAGGTAAAGCGATTTGGGAAGTTCCTGGTTGAGAAGAGAAAAAGAGGTTATTTAACATCTTAACAAACTTAAAGGTAAAAGCTTTAGGGTTCAATACTCAAAAGCTGTTGTATCAGCTCTTAAGAATACAAACAATTTAAAGCAATCATCTTAGTCTATGCAATTAAGACAAGCTAGTTTTAAGCATCAGATTTTTAATTCCCAACAAAACACCTTAAGGAACTCTTAGTATCATCCACATTTACACAGAATGAGAGCTCTTCTGCAAATGTTAGAAGTGCCATTTACCATCTTGTTTGGTTTTTTAAATGCACAGGGTATACCACCCAGTATGCTACAATGCAGGTGAGTGCACTGCAATCAATTTCAGCTTCACTTCATGGAAGTTACTACAATCAAGAGACAGAAAAATAAAGTTTTTATTTTAAAAACAGCTACTTTTAGTGAGCACCCTGAACTTTAACATGCCTAGTGCATGGACTATGTAGAAAGCAGAATAGCTTGCCTGGGCACAATCAAATGTAGGATTAAGGCTTAATTTTAAACAATGTGAAAGGATTAAAACAATCAATACTCAAACTGAGCAAAGAGAGAAAGTTTAACTTTCACTGCAAAATTCTACGGTTGCATGAAACCTCACAATGCAGTTAAATTTTTTAAAGATAAAAGCACTTTTCTCAGAAGAATCAAAACTCAGATTTTATAATGATTAATTAGTAACAGCCCTGGTTTTGGGACCAAAAGAGACAAGAATTTCCAGAGAAGAGCTCGTTACCTGGTGTTGTGAAGTGGTTCTTTAGTTACAGCTTTCACACCTTCCATGATATAATTCTGGTACTTGGAACAAGAAGCTGCATGGCTTCGCATCTTTGAGAGATACATCTGTGCAGGCAACAATTGCATAGCAAGGTTAACTTAAACTAGTTGCAATTACTTCTACTCTTTTAAGCAGAAGTAGTAAACACAAAACAAAGCAGCTTTCTGCAGACAGTGCTAAAGCAGGGAAACCCAAACCCTTCAGCTGGCCGGGCGGAAAGATTTCAGATTATAGATCAGTTAACCTGTAACTTTGCTGCCTTTAATATTTTACAAATACAACACTTCAGAACAGCTCCCTTTTCTTAACCTATACTACAGTATTAAAAAAAAAGCTTCATATAAAGCCAGTTTACCTGGTCACTGAGAAGAGACAGTGTATGGAAAATAAACTGGCTTTTAGTATAGATCTTGGTGTAGATTGATTGGTAATTGCTAATCAATCCCATTAATGAAAATTCAAATTTACAATGAGGAAATCTGTAACTCAAGGCACTGCAGTTTTTTGTCAGCTGGAATGAAGCGAGTAAAGAAACTACCTAGAAACAAAAAGTGAAAGTAACCAAACTATTACCGTCACCTTAGTTGTCTAATTATCCTTTTCTCGTTGTTTTGCTATCTGCTAAGATTATTTTTTTTTTTTAATACATTCAATTAACACTAAGAAGTCCACTTTACAAAGAGAAAGGAAACGACAGGAAGGTGCCATACAGGTATTCAACATGCAGGGCACTAACAAACAATAAGTCTATGGAACACAACGCCCATGTAAGACAACTTTGACTCATAACTGTTTCAAACGAAGCAAACAAATTTCTGTTCAAGAGCCAAAGAGATCACTATCCAAACCCCACATCCACCGTTTCATTACAACATTCCTCCCACAGAGACAGGCTCACAGAAGCAACTTCAGAAGCAATATTTTACTCTGATTTTAAAATCACTATCTTTCATTTGCAATTCATTTCTTGAAGAAGTATCACTAGAAAACTGTGGAAAGAATGTCAACATTTGGGTGCTGGCTATATAAAATTTCTTTAGCATTTGTCAGAACAAACATTTTGACCTGATTCTGCAGAAAGCTGAAAAGCAAGCACTTTATTTCCCTCTAAGGAGTACGGCCAAGCAGGCACACCTCATGCACTTCATTTCCACTTAATACTTTCATACTTTTTTATTGCAGCCATTGCAAGTGGTTTCTGTCATTTCAATTTGCTTCTCCAAGTCCACAGCTCTGCTCCCAGGTGACAGGGTACTGCGGCAGACACCACAAACTGGCTTTTTTGGCTTCAGACATTCCTGCAGGCACGGAGTGCAAAAGCTGGGGTGGGAGAAAAACAGTACGTGGTGAGAACAGCCCTGCTGGACACACAGGATAAATATCCAGAGCCCTTCCGTGTCTTCTGTCCTAAGTGATAAGGGAGTCTCCAGAAATGGTATCTAATAAAGCAGCAGCCTGTGGAGACTCGTGCGTGACGGGAGGCGCGGGGCTGCAGTTCGCCTGTGGACACTGCTCTGCCCCCTCGGTGACCACGTCTTTCAGGAATCGAAAGTGAAAGCGCAGCAGCTTTTTTCCTCGCCAACTGTTTTCCC